TTACTAGTTTATGCGCATATAGTTGTTTGTAATATTCTCTGATGATGGTTTGAATTTCTGTGGAATCTGTGGTGATTTCCCCTTTATCATTTTTTATTGCATCTATTTGGTTGTTCTCTCTTTTCTTTTTAATCAATCTGGCTAGTGGTCTGTCTATTTTGTTGATCTTTTCAAAAAACCAGCTCTTGGATTTATTGATTTTTTGAAGGGTTTTTCGTGTCTCAATCTCCTTCAGCTCAGCTCTGATCTTAGTTATTTCTTGTCTTCTGCTGGGTTTTGAGTTTTTTTGGTCTTGGTCCTCTAGCTCTTTCAATTTAGGGTGTCTATTTTGGATCTCTCCATTCTCCTCATATGGGCACTTATTGCTATATACTTTCCTCTAGAGACTGCTTTAAATGTGTCCCAGAGGTTCTGGCACGTTGTGTCTTCGTTCTCATTGGTTTCGAAGAACTTCTTTATTTCTGCCTTCATTTCGTTGTTTACCCAGTCAGCATTCAAGAGCCAGTTGTTCAGTTTCCATGAAGCTGTGCGGTTCTGGGTCTGTTTCTGAATTCTGAGTTCTAACTTGATTGCACTATGGTCTGAGAGGCTGTTTGTTATGATTTCAGTTGTTTTGCATTTGTTGAGCAGTGGTTTACTTCCAATTATGTGGTCAATTTTAGAGTAGGTGTGATGTGGTGCTGAGAAGAATGTGTATTCTGTGGATTTGGGGTGGAGAGTTCTGTAAATGTCTATCAGGTTTGCTTGCTCCAGGTCTGAGTTCAAGCCCTGGATATCCTTGTTGATTTTTGTCTGGTTGATCTGTCTAGTATTATTGACTGTAGTTTTATCCTTAAAAGCAAAATCGGCTGCACTTATGTAAGTTACAATAATAATTAGAATTTAGGAAAATCCATTCTTAAAACAAGAAGGCAAAGAGAATAAAAAATAAACATCCAAGTCACCCTCTGACTGTGCGTTGGTTTTAAAACAACAAGACTATTATTTTAAGTGAACACAAAAAAATTTTGCTACCAAGCGAGTACAATTTCTAACAGGTGATACATCGACTCCTCTAATTCTAGACATTTCCGAAAGTGCCCTTACTACCTACATTACTTCCTTCTGTAAAGCTCTACTGATTAAGACTTTATCTTTTGTGGTTGGATTTTTGCTTTTGGAATTACAACCTACTTTTCAAGTCACATTTTGTAAATTAGTTGAGGTATCTTGCTAAGTGATAAAGTCGGAGTCAAAAACTTCCTGAAAAGTGCCTCGTGAACTCGTGAGGCATCATGGCAAAGATCCCAAAGAAGAACACAGACTTTAAGGTCTGACAGATGTAAGTATAGGTCCCACCTCCACCACGTATTAGATGTGTAATGTTAAATGAGCTACTATACCTCTTTGAGCCTCAGCTTTCCTCTCTGTAAAAAGAAGATGTTAAACCTTTCCTTGCACTATTGTTGTAGGGATTAGAGATGATGTCAATAAAAATGTTTCCAGCATGCTCGGTATTCAACGTACCTTGGATAGACTTATTTGACCAGTTCACTGCAAAGGGTAATATACATGAGTAAGATTTTTTTTTTCTTCAAAATAGACTTTTTGGGATTAAACTCTAAAAAAGTGTTAAATAAATGAATCAAGATATTTTTCATTTCTGTTGTTGAAGTATTTGCCTTCTTACGTTTGGTAATGTTAGGATTTTCCACAGAAGAAGTTGACACTTTCCTCCTTAATCATACTGGCGATACCATGTTTCAACACTAGTTACTGTTTTCTTTTCGAAAATTGTCATTTGTCTAGCAGCTTCCCTTGAAAGATCAGCTAAATGTCACATTATCCCTGCTTCTGCTAATCTTTCAAAATGCTCACCACCATAGTCATAACATTTTCTTCATGCTCAAATTGATTTAAAAAATGTTCTAAAGACAGTGTTGCTGAATATTTATCTGTTTAATAAAAATTAGGCTTTTAAATATAAAAATATAGATTTATTATAAAGCCTCTAGAAAGCAAAGAAAAATAGATTTGAAAAATACCTTGTTTAATCACATAAAGCTAGGCAGAGTTAAATCACTGTTTCCATTTTGGTACATTTTATTTTAATCTATTCACTATTTTAATGTCCTTCTTTATATCCATAATGGTGATAACATGATGTATATATGAACATGTATATATTATGTAAATATATAAAATTCATAAATATATCTTTTAAAAATGGTATCTGTAGGCCGGGCGCGGTGGCTAAAGCCTGTAATCCCAGCACTTTGGGAGGCCGAGGCGGGTGGATCACGAGGTCAAGAGATCGAGACCATCCTGGTCAACATGGTGAAACCCCGTCTCTACTAAAAATACAAAAAATTAGCTGGGCTTGGTGGCGCGTGCCTGTAATCCCAGCTACTCAGGAGGCTGAGGCAGGAGAATTGCCTGAACCCAGGAGGTGGAGGTTGTGGTGAGCCAAGATCGCGCCATTGCACTCCAGCCTGGGATACAAGAGCGAAACTCCGTCTCGAAAAATAAATAAATAATTAAATAAAAAGTAAAAACGGTATCTGTTTATTATATATAAATATATATCTAATGAGTATATATCTACATATCTACTTCTATGTTTATATATCTCCATGATAGAAGTTGGAAAATACTGAAAATTGTAGAGGAGTTCGGAGAAACAACCTATAATCTCATTATACAGAAATAATTTTCTTCCCTTTTTCTTCTCCACATTTTGGCTTAGATCAAATTAAGAAATGATTTTCTTAACGTTTTTGGTATTGTGTTTTTAGAGTATCAAGATGTTGCTGCATATTCTGATTTTTATGTATAGTTGTGACAGGAACACCCACAAAAATAATTTTTCTAGAAAAGAATTTGTTAACAAATATTTTCTTCCAGGAAGTGGTGTATTAGCGTTTTAAAAGAAACATTTCTGGACGTCAAAGTAGACACTGGGCTTATATCAACAGCTCAATCTTTTTTAAAATACGCTTTATTTTTAGAGCAGTGTAAAGTTAATAGTGAGGCATAGTGGAAAGTACAGAGAGTTCCTACATTCCCACCTCCCCAAATGCACAGCCTCCTCCACTATCAGCCTTCCTCACTAGAGAGGTACATTTGTTACAATGGATGAACCAACATTGACTTATCACTGTCACCCATAGTTTATAATTGACATTAGGGACCATTCTTGCTGTCGTATATTCAGTGAGTTTTGACAAGGGTGTAATGGCATGTGTCTACCATTATAGTAACACACAGAGTAGTTTCATTGCCCTAAACATCCTCTAGGCTCTGCCCATTTATCCTTCCCCACTTTTCAACCCCCAGCAATCACTGAACGTTTTGATGTCTCTATAGTTTTGCCTTTTCCAGAATGTCATATAGTTGGATTCATATAGTAAGTGGTTATTTGAGATTGGTTTCTTTCACTTAGTAGTATGTATTTGAGTTTCCTCTATGTCTTTTAATGGCTTCATAGCTCACGTGCTTTTTTTCTGCAACAAAAGCCACATTCAAAGATTATTGCTTTCATTGCTGAATAATATTCCACTGTGTCGATGTAGAGGTTTGTTTATCCAGGCACTTACGAGTCTATAGTAACCAGTGTGGAGCCTGGGGAAGCCATAAATGGCCTGGTTGTGGCGAAGGCCTGGAGCCTATGTCGATAGGAGCCATGGAGGTTGGAGGCATTAGATCTTAGAGCCATAGGGGAAGGCCTGGAGCTTGGGTTGACAGGGTCTGTCCCATAGCCTGTGGCTATAGAAACCTGCCTGGTGTTGAGTTCACTGAATTGTGCCTGGCACTGGAGTTGATGTTGAAGTCAGGTGTTACATTTACTCTCCTCTCTGCACATACATGGTATCTCTCTCCATGCTGCACTACCCAGGTTTAGGGGCGGGGTAATGCAGATAATAGAAAACTCTCTTTTATACTCTATTTTATGCCGTTTTTCTTACTTTTCTACTCCACAAACGTGCTATAACCTCTCACCTGGATTCCTTGTCTCTTTTGAAGACACTTTGATGCACGGATGGCTGTTCAAATTGATGTTTCTGTGAAGGAATAAGTGCTGAAAAGTTCTGTTTTGCCATTTTGTCCATGGCATTCTTCTCTGTTAACTGAAAAAATATTTTTACTGAATAACATATTGTTAAAAATTGTCAGACCCTTGGTTTAGCTCAGGAAGTTTCTTCTTTAGAGAAAGTTCCTTTCCTAGTTTTCTATAGAAAGACTATAGTTGTAAAATGTTGGTAGAGATGATATTTTGTGTGTAGAATTAAGGACCGATTACACATAAATGTTTAGGTAAACATTTGTGAGTAATCTGTTCTTATACACAAAAAGAAGGTCTATAGCTTTAGGAAAGGGAAAATTATCTAGGTTATTCAGACAATATAAAATGAGTTGAGAAAATTGAAGGGAATGTTTATTCTTGAATGAGACCTCATGGAGAAAGACAAAATAAGGAAGCCATGGGAGAATATTTGCATTCTCGAAACCACAAAAGTGAGGAAAGCCAAGAGCACAGCTGGAGTTTCACCAGATCAAGTAGACATTCCATCAGAGCCTGAACAGAGAATGCACCATTCCTAGTCACCTTGATAACAGCCCCATTTTCGGTTAATAATACTCTATGAGAAAAATCTTGCAAAAATAGTCAGAAAAGGCAGAGTCACATGCGGTTCAGTGTGTTCCACCTTAACAGACGGTCTTAGGAGGAGTTTTGGAAGGATCGTGCTGCAGGCAATGGATGAGATAATGATGAGAAATTTTCCAGCTCTGTATAAAAAGGCAAGCGATATATGCTTGTGAATTTTTGGCTGCTTTTTTATGCTGTATTTTCAGATCAATTTTATCCCAGTTAATGTGAATATAAACTCTGATTGTTATGGTTATCTCTCGTGGGGTGTCTATTATTTTGTCAGAAATTGTATCAGGAACTTTATATCAATCACTAAATTACACATTTCCAAGCTGCATATGAATTAGGTATTACTATGATCATTTTACAGATGAAGAAGATGAGACTCAGAGCAATACATAAGTTGCCCAAGGTCAGAGAGCAAGTAAGTACCAGAAATAAAAGCCAGATAAATCTCATTTCCATATCCTTGCTCTTTCAATGATGTTTCAGAGTTGATTACAAAAAGAATTGTTCTGTGTGCCCAGGATAATTTACTACCTACTAAATTTAACCATAGGGCAGTCTTATAAACAGGGTAGAGTATGCAGTTAAGATAAAATTTGAGAGGAAAAAATTAAATTAAAATAGTATATAACCAATGATCAGAATATTCTCTCAGTATTTTAGAAATTGATGTAAGAATAAACTAGATACTGATAAAAAAGTCACGTTCTTTATGCACAAATCTTGTAAGTAGCTACTGTTAAAGAGAGGATATTATTTACCTAGAAGAAAGTGGGGTTGGCAACCACTATATAACCATTCGTGGGGTGAATGTCCTTTTTATTTTAGGCCTCTGGCTGATGGATCCAAGAGGTAGATGCGTGATGTCAAAATATTCTCTTTTATAGGTAATTACAATTTACAATGGAAGATACAGAGGCCACAAGGTAGTAGAGTTGAGTTATATTAACAGAAAACCTTGTTAGAGAAAAGAACCACCTCTCACTATCATGTTCAATGGCAAAGATTAATAGAAGGTACAGCAAAATGGACACACATGCGAGTATACCCACATTGATATTGGAAGTAACTTTTTTCTTCTATACTATAAATCATATCCCAGAATATACTCATAATGTGTACACTTATTGGGATATTACAATCAACGTACACAAAATATGTACCATATGTACATTGACTGTGATGTACATATGTGTACACAATACAGATGTACAAAAAATGTACATAATCTGTACAATATGTACATTTATATGTACATAATGTGTACACAGTAGGTATGTACATAATGTGTACAATATGTAAATATATTGTAATATTACAATGATTTCATATATTCACAACAGCATATATAATCACAATACACATATAATACATAATATCAATATAAATGTACATATTGCACACATTATATACATTTACATTTATTGTGATATTACGATATGTACACATGTACATCATGCACACGTGCAGATTTGCGGTATATACACGTGTACGTAAGTGCACAGTATGTACATATGTACACTACACATATGTTCATATAATGAAGATATGTACCTTCTGTACAGGAGTACACAGTATGTACAATATATACACGTATATACTAGGTACACATATAGGTGTATACCCACTTTGGTAACCGGAGAGATTTCTATCTAATATACTAAATATAAAATCCCAGAATGTAGTCATAGTGTGTACATTTATTGTCGTTTTGTGATAAATGTATTAAATAGGCACAATCTGTACATCTACTCTGCTGTACATAGGTGTACACAATGCACATGTACAAAAAATGTACATAATCTGTAAAATATGTACCTATATATTTCTATAATGTGTACACAATGCATAGGTCCATAATGTGTGCACTATGCACATTCCTTAAAATATCAGTGATAAAATATATATAATCACAGTAAGATCTATAATCACACTAATACATATATGTCGTGTAATATCACCAAAAAGTACGTATTGTACACATTAGGTATGTATTAGGTACATATGTATAGTGCACATATTATGAAAATATATATGTATCATGATAACACTGTATGTACACGTATACAAATATGTGCCTACTATTTAAACAATGTACACATGCACAGATAGGTGCAAACTACATGCCTATGCACAGCAGGCTATCACTGCTCGTAGCAGCCTCAATGCCCACCCTGGCTTCTTAAAGACCCCCTGGCTAGGGGACTGTGGGTACAGCTGCTGGGGCCCGGCTATTTTGAAAATGTGGTGTAATATGATACTGGCAACCTATCACACAGAAATGATAATGTTATTGTGGTTCTTTACATATTAGGCAATAGTTGTAGTTACACATTTGGCATATTGACAAAAATGTCATCCTCACCCCATTGACATTAGAATTGAAAGCATAGGAGGGTTTCACCCCTTGCAATGTTGAATTCAATATAATTGTTTTCTTGTTTACATTAGTGACCATATCAGAGCACGGTGTACATCTCTTGCACTATTCAGAATATTTCTCTATGGGCAGCAACATTTTTCTCTCCTTATCTGGATATTAGGAAGAATATCACAGGACCGGCTTACAGCGCCAGTCACATCGTGAGCAATGTCATCTGTAATCCCCTAGTTATTAAGAACAATGTAACGGGGGTCTCGTTGGAGATATTTGGAGTAATATCCTTTTAGTTTCTGGATATTAGAAACAATACTACAGTGGTGGTGTACACTTCCTGCGATATTAAGAGTATACACATCCTCTGTCCCTGGGATATTAGGAACTACATCGCAGAAGCGTTGCACTTTGCCTATAATATTGGAACAATCACAGAGTGTACACCTTCTTTCATTGTGAGAGAAATACCTACTTAGGATATGATGGATAATATCACAAAATGGACACACATGGGTATATACCCACTGTGATATTGGAGGTCATTTTTATCTAATATACTAAAAGTCATAACCCGGAAAAAACTCATAATGTGTAGACTTATTGGGATATTACACTCAATGTACAGAATATGTAACATATGTACATTGACTGTGATGTACACACATGTACACAATACAGATGTACAATAAATGTACATAAACTGTATCATTTGTATGAATATATGTACAAAATGTGCACACAATAGGTATGCACATAATGTGTACAATATGTACATTTATTGTAATATCACAATGTTATATAATCACAACTGCATATAAAATCACAATACAAATGTAATATGTAATATCAATATAAATGTACATATTGCAAACAAGATGTACATTTACATTTATTGTGATATGATATGTGAACATGTACATCATGTACCCATTATGTACAGATGCACAATATATGCAAGTGTACATATGTGGGTACAGTATGTACATATGTACACTACACATGTGTACATATAATGTAGATATGTACCTTCTGTACCCAAGTACATTCTATGTACAATATGTACACATATAAACGATGTACACACCTGGGTGTACAACCACTTTGGTAACCGGAGAAATTTCTATCTAATATACAAAATATAATAATTCAGAATGTAGTAATAGTGTGTACATTTATTGGCATATTGCAATAAATGTATAAAATAGGTACAATCTGTACATTTACCCTGCTGTACATATGTGTACACAATGCACATGTAGTACAAAAAATGTACATACTCTGTAAAATATGTACCTACATATTTCTATAATGTGTAAACAATGTATAGGTACATAATGTGTACACTATGCACATTCCTTAAAATATCAGTGATAAAACATATATAATCAAAATAACGCATATAATCACAGTAATATATATATATATCATGTAATATCACAAAAAAGTACATATTGTACACAGTAGATACGCATTAGGTCTATATGTATTGTGCACATATGTACATATATATTTATCATAACACCATGTGTACACTTATACAAATATGTGTTCATTATTAAAACTATGTACCTAGGCCGGGCGCGGTGGCTCAAGCCTGTAATCCCAGCACTTTGGGAGGCCGAGGCGGGTGGATCACGAGGTCAGGAGATCGAGACCATCCTGGTCAACATGGTGAAGCCCCGTTTCTACTAAAGATATAAAAAATTAGCTGGGCATGGTGGCGCGTGCCTGTAATCCCAGCTACTCGGGAGGCTGAGGGCAGGAGAATTGCCTGAACCCAGGAGGCGGAGGTTGCGGTGAGCCGAGATCGCACCATTGCACTCCAGCCTGGGTAACAAGAGCGAAACTCCGTCTCAAAAAAAAATAAAAATAAATAAATAAAATAAAACTATGTACCTGTGCAGAACAGGCTATTACCACAGCCCCCCTCATAGCAGCCCCAAGGCCCAACCTGGCTGCTTAAAGACCCCCTGGCTAGGGAGCTGTAACCACATTCCCCGCCAGAGGGCCCATAACAGCTCCCAGGCTGACGCTGGCTGCTTAGGGACCCCCTGGCTAGGGCGCTGTGCCCGGCTATTTTGAAAATGTGGTGTAATATGATGCTGGCGACCATATCATATGGAAATGATGTTATCCTGGTTTTTGATATACTAGGCAATAGTTCTAGTTACACCTCTGCCATATTGACAAAAATGTCATCCTCACACCCCTGGACATTAGAATTGAAATCATAAGGGGGTTTCACCCCTTGCAATCAATAGAATTGTTTTCTTGTTTACATTAGTGACCATATCAGAGCACAGTGTACTCCTCTTACCATATTCAGAGGATTTTCCTATGGGCAGCAACATTATTCTCTCGTTCTCTGGATATTAGGAACAATATCACAGGACCAGCGGACAGCCCCAGTCATATCGTGAGTAATGTCATCTGTAATCCCTTAGTTATTAGAAAAAATATCACGGGGGTCTTGTGTGCTTTATCAGATACTTGGAGTAATATCTTTTCCGGTTTTGGATATTAGACACGATACTACAGTGGTGGTGTACACTTCCTGCGATATTCAGGGTATAATAATCTTTTGTCCCCAGGATATTAGGTAGTACATTAAAGAAGCCTTGTACTTTGCCTGTGATATTGGAACAATCACAGAGTGAACACTTGCTTTCAAAATGAGAGTAATACCTACTTAAAATATGATGGATAATATCAAAAAATGGACACACATGGGTGTATACCCACTTTGATATAGAAAGAAAATTTTTATCTAATATACTAAAAATCATATATCACAATATACTCATAATGTGTACACTTATTGAGATGTTACAATCAATGTGCAGAATACATACCATATGTACATAGAGTGTTAGGTACATATGTGTACACAATACAGATGTACCAAAAACGTACATGATCTGTACAATATGTGCAATTACAGGTACATAATGTGTACACAATAGGTATGTACGAAATGTGTGCAATATGTACATTTATTGTAATATTACAATGATATCATATCACAACAGCATATAAAATCACAATACACAAGTAATACATAATATAAATGTACATATTGCACACATTGTGTACATTTACATTTATTGTGGTATCACGGTGTGTACACATGCACGTCATGTACCCATTATGTACACATGTACAAAATATGCACATGTACATATGTGTGAACAGTATGTGCATGTGCACACTATGTACACATAAATACATATAATGTTGACATGTACATTTTGTACATGAGTACCTAATATGCACAATATGTACACGTATAAACTATGTACACACCTGGGTGTATGCCCACTTTGGTCAATGGAGTAATTTCTAATATGGTAAAAATTATATTTTAGAATGTACTCATAATGTGTACATTTATTGGCATATCACAAGAAATCTATAAAATAGGTACAGTCTGTACATTTACTCTGCTGTGCATAGGTGTACACAATACACATGTAGAAAAAGTGTACATAATCTGTAAAATATGTACCTATATATTTCTATATTGTGTACACAATACATAGGTATATAATGTGTACACTATGCACATTCCTTAAAATATTAGTGATAAAATATATTTAATCACAATAAGATATATAATCACAGTAATATATATTGTCTAATATTACAAAAAAGTACATATTGTACACATTAGGTATGCATTA